ACTGTCCCCAGAGCGACAACTCCTGGGCCTTCCTTAGGCGTCTAGTCCCCTCGCCTCCCTCGGAGAGCCGGTGTGATGGCCGGGAACAAAATGTGCACTGGCCCTTCAAGAGGGTGCCTGTGTCTCCCGCAGACTCCCAGCCTCAGTCTCTCCCCGTGCACGGAACCCGCCTGCTTTCCGCAGCCAGGGGTCGTGGACACCTCCACAGGCTCCGTGCTCTGGCCGGGGCCTGGCGTCCCCGTGGGAGCAGAGCCGGTTCAGCATCTGCCCCTCCTGCAGACCCGCCCTCAGGAGGCCTCTGTCCTGCTGCCTCAGTGGGTGACTCAGGGGGACTGTTCTGGGTGTTAGTTGTCATTCCGGTTTGGCCCTGAGGGCGCCGGAGTGCAGCTCCCACCTCCTCTGCTGCCATCTTGAGGTTCCCTCCCCTGAGTCACTTGTAAAACCAGAGGTGTTCATACATTTGGCTTTCATACCCAGGGCCGCTCTCGGTTTGACCAGGGGAGTTGGAGATGGAGAATTTCTTAGAAGAGAGCCCCCGCTATGAGCCCTAGGGTTTCGCCCCATCCGCTCACCCACATGCAGGCTCGGCCGAGTGTTGTAATCGACACCTTGGACAATGGTGATGGGCATATGCTTCCCCATTTTGCATCCAAATTTCAACAAAATGTGAAAAAATGGGCATTGGGTATTCGGCAACATGTGAGATGAGTCATCCTGAGGAGCCCGAGGTGGGGATGGTTAATGCGGCCGGATCACAGAAGACAGCAGCAGGAGCCGTTTCAGGAAGGCTCCGGCCGGTGGAAGGTCTGGCCAGCCAGACAGGAGGGGGGCAGCGTGCTCTCACCCGGACCGTCACCAGCAGGTAGTCTGGGGGGGGATTCAGAGTGGAGCTGGGCATCTGTGCTTTGGCAGGACACAGATGTACGGGCCGTCTCAGGCTCACACGTAAACACGGAAACTCCGTTCTCTTGGCCAAGAACCTCTCAAGTCTTTTACGGAACAGAACCTTCCTCCTCGGAGACCTCTTGGCAGCCCCTGGAGAACGGACTGGGCGGGGAGTGCTTGCGTGCCAGCCTGCTGTGCCCTTCCGGGGGAGCCAGTGTGGCAGGTGCCACCCAGCAAGTGCTGGGCGGGGCAGGCGCTGGAGGCAGGGCTGGCAGGTGTGGGCTCAGGGGAGGAGGACCCACTGGGCAAGAATGTGGGCCAGACAGACAGACTGCTTCCCCTTCGTGTTTTATTCATGGGCAGGTGAACGAGAATATGGACGTGGGACACGTGACCCTGTGTTTAGCTCTGGTTGCTTCGTAATCTGGGGGCTCGCTCAGTCTCTTCCATTCGGAGGCTGGAGTGAATGCAGAAAGGTTCCCCCCATTTTTAATAAAACACACAGGCTTTCACAGTGCAGAGGATGTGTGACCCCAACACCCACTGGGTTTATTATTTTTTACCCCTGTCTTCCTTTATTCAAACTCATACACAGGGAATAAGGTTTATTTAAAACAAAAACAAAAACAAAAACAGACTGCATTTGTATAGTCTGACAAAGACACATGGAAATATACCATAGAGTTAAATCAGCTCCAAGCAGACGTTCAGCAAAAGTGTCTGCCCTGGCAGTTGAGAAGAGGGTGCTCCAGCCTTCCTGACACTTCCTTTTGTTTTCACTAGCTCTGCTCAACACCAACTTTCATTGGTTCAGACTGTAATTAAAAGGACTGTTCTTGCTTTGTATCTTGCCCATAGAAAGCACTCCGAACCAGCCCACATGGGAAGTGAGCTGTGGTCCCTCCATGTGATGGATGAGCTGGGAGAGATCCAGCTCTTTCTAACCCTGATGGCGCTTAGTACCCTGTTTCCCCAAAAATAAGACAGTGTCTTCTATTAATTTTTTCTCCCAAAGTTGCGCTAGGTCTTATTTTCAGGTGATGTCTTATCTTCCCATGTGCTAGGTCTTATTTTCGGAGGATGTCTTATTTTCGGGGAAACACGCTAACAGTGGGGCGCACTTTAAGCTTTTTGAGCTGCTTGAATTGCTAAGTTCTGATGTGTTTAGCAAGTCTGCCTGTACTACTCAGCGGTGCTCAACATAGGAATGTCCTTGTAAACACAGGGAAATCCAGTTTCCAGCTGGAATGCTTTCTCACCTGACTCCTCCTCCTGACGGAGCTACTCGGAATATCAGAGTCCAGAGAAGGGACACAGAATTACTGGGAATGGATCTCTAACCATGAGAAATGCTCAAGAACAACTTCATCTTGAATAAATTATTAGTGGAGACATTCAGAGAAGTGACTATGAACTACTGTCACAGAAACTAAACTTTATATTGTTTTATTATTTTTTTTAAAGAAGTCTTTAATTTGCCCTCAAATGTCATAACAAATCCATTATTGCAGATCTGTAATCTCTCCTTCCCCCTTTTTTCTGGAAAAGGCAAGAAAATTCTTTAGATTAAATGGAATGATTTTTAAAATTTTATTTTTCAATTTACAATCTATATTCAGTGCTATTTTGTTTTAGTTTCAGTGTACAGCATGGTGGTTAGATAATCATGTACTTTACAAAGTGTTCTCCCTGACAGTTTCTGGCACTATTCTTATTAAAATATTAACTACATTCCTTATGCTGTGCTTTACAGCCACTTGACTTTTTTGTTAATCCTCTCCTGAGGATATTTGTCCTTTTGGTTTTTAGAGAGAGTGGGAAGGGAAGGAGGGGAGAGAGACAGACACCTATCAGTTGCCTCCCGCACCAGAGCTGCACAGGTGCCTGGGATGGAACCTGCAACCCTTCCGTGTGGGCCAATGCTCTAACCACTGAGCACACTAGCCAGGGCCCAGTGACTATTTTAAAAAATATATATTTTATTGATTTTCCACAGAAAGGAAGGGAGAAGGATAGAGAGCTAGAAACGTCAATGAGAGAGAAACCTCGTCCAGCTGCCTCCTGCACACCCCCTTCTTGGGATGTGCCCGCAGCCAATGTACATGCCCTTGACCGGAATCGAACCTGGGACCTTTCAGTCCGCAGACTGAGGCTCTATCCACTGAGCCAAACCGGTTTCAGCCCAGCGACTATTTTTTTTTTTTTTTAACAATTTGTATTCTTAATCCCTTCACCCCCCCCCCCCCTCTCCCCGCTCCCCAACCCCCTCCCCTCTGGCTACCATCAGTCTGTTCTCTGTATCTGAGTCGGCTTCATTTTTTAATTCTGTTCTTTAGATTCAACATATAGTGAAATCATATGGTATTTTTCTTACTCTAACTTATTCCTCTTAGAACAGCAGTCTAGAGCTCTGCTTGACTAATATTCCATTGTACGTGTGCACCACACTTTTTATTCACTTGTGTTGCTTCCGTATCTTGGCTATTGCAAATAATGCTGCAGTAAACATAGGGGTGCATACATCCTTTCAAATTAGTGTTTGGGGGGGGGGGGGATAAAATTCTTAAGTATAAAAATGTAGGCTTAGCATCTTTTTCAAGCTCCATCCCAAAATGTCCAAGGGCATTCTAGCAGTTTTTCTTCAATAGCATTACCTTGTGAACTCAACTTGGTCTTAGCAAATATATTTACTCTGATATCTGAGTGTACTGATCATCTCTCAGAGTTATTTTTAAGAATGTAGTCCTTCAACATTTTTCATTTCCTAATTAATTGGAGAAGGCTTTAGGGTGTTTTTAGGGCTTCCTCAATAAACAGAGCTAAGAAACTTGTCCTAGGCCTTTCCCCTGGGTGGGCATGAGCCTGCATTGTGTGTATTCCTGGTCTTTACCCTTAATGGGCGATTAATGGTATCACACCAACACGGTGTGCCCTCTCTGAGTAATTCTGAAGCAACACGTTGTTCTCCCAGAAAACCTGTCAAACATCCGGCGTCCTCAGACTCTACCTCTGGGAGGAAGGCAGAGGCGCTGGTAGCAGTTTGTGGATCACTTGGCGTTTGGAGCCTGAGCTGAGAGCTGAGCCCAGGTCTGAATGGGAGCAGAGGTTTAAGAAAAGGAATTGAGCCGATACCGGTTTGGCTCAGTGGATAGAGCGTCGGCCTGCGGACTGCAGCGTCCCAGGTTCGATTCCGGTCAAGGGCATGTACCTTGGTTGCGGGCACATCCCCAGTAGGGGGTGTGCAGGAGGCAGGTAATCGATGATTCTTTCTCATCCATGTTTCTAGCTCTCTATCCCTTTCTCTTCCTCTCTGTAAAAAAATCGATAAAATACATTACAAAAGAAAAGGAATTGAAAAAAAACTGCAGGCCCCCAATTGCAGGAAACCGGACCTGGGGAACAAAGACAACACGTACTGTCTTTTCAAGCGTTAGTCCATGGGAAGGGCTCCGGACTTAAGCCCCCGCAGACCTTCTGGTGTGAACCTTCTCTCCCGAGGGCGCCCGGCTGCTTTAGGTTCTGTACGCGCTGACCGCTGACCGCTGACCAGGGAACGGCTGACACTGAGCTCGGGCTGCAGGGAGCGCGGCCACCAGGTGGCACTGTCCCGCCGGGAGGGCGGCCTGGAGCGGGCGCCCGCGGTGGGTCCGCGGCTCCGCGGCGCTTCGTGGGGTCGGAGCCGGCCGGTCCCCCGGCCTCGCGCTGCAGCCGACGGGGCGGCCGGCGGCCTGGGCTGCGCCGCGACCCCTCCGCGCCCCGTCCCGCATCTGCACGGCCCGCCGGCCGGCTGCCCGCTCCCGCCTCTGACCACGGCCGGCCGCCCCGGCCGCCCCCGGCCGCGGGAGCCCCGCGCGGGCGGGGGAGGGAGCCGTTCCCGGCAGGACGGCCCGGGCCGGTCCGGCGGGCGGGGCGGGAGGGAGCGCCGGGCGGGGGAGCCGGCGGCGGCGGCTCAGGGGCGGCTCCGGGGGAGGCTCCCGGCCGCCCCCGCCCCCGCGCCCCGGGCCCCGCGGCTGGAGCCGGGGCGGGGCCTGCGGCCGCCCGGGTAGAAAAGGCGGCGGCGGCGGCCCCGCGGTGACAGCCCGGCCCGCTCGCCGCCCCGGAGCCCCGCCGCCGCCATGAGCGCCGCCCTCTTCAGCCTGGACGGCCCGGCGCGCGGCGCGCCCTGGCCCGCGGAGCCCGCGCCCTTCTACGAGCCGGGCCGGCCCTGCAAGCCCGCCGCCCGCGCCGGCGAGCCCGCCGCCGGCCCCGCCATGTACGACGACGAGAGCGCCATCGACTTCAGCGCCTACATCGACTCCATGGCGGCCGTGCCCACGCTGGAGCTGTGCCACGACGAGCTCTTCGCCGACCTCTTCAACAGCAACCACAAGGCGGGCGCGCCGGGCGCCCCGGAGCCGCCGCCCGGCCACCCCGCCGCGCGCGCCCCGGGCCCGGGCCCCGCGCCGCGGCCGCTCAAGCGCGAGCCCGACTGGGGCGACGGCGCCGCCGCCTCGCTGCTGCCCGCGCAGGTGGCCGCGTGCGCGCAGACCGTGGTGAGCCTGGCGGCCGCGCAGCCCACGCCGCCCGCGTCCCCCGAGCCGCCGCCGCGGGCCAGCCCCGCGCCCGGCCCCGCGCCCGGCCCGGCCCGCGACAAGGGCGCCGGCGGGAAGCGCGGCCCGGACCGCGGCAGCCCCGAGTACCGGCAGCGGCGCGAGCGCAACAACATCGCGGTGCGCAAGAGCCGCGACAAGGCCAAGCGGCGCAACCAGGAGATGCAGCAGAAGCTGGTGGAGCTGGCGGCCGAGAACGAGAAGCTGCACCGGCGCGTGGAGCAGCTCACGCGGGACCTGGCGGGGCTGCGGCAGTTCTTCAAGCAGCTGCCGGGCGGCGCGCCCTTCCTGCCGCCCGCGGCCGCCGACGGCCGGTGACGCGCGGCGGCGGCGGGGGCGCGGGAGGCGCCGCGGACACTCAGCCCCCGGCCCGGCGCCCCGCGCTGCCCGCCCCCCGGCACCCAGGGCGGGAGCGCGGCCCGGCCCGGCCGCCACGGGACTCCAGAGAAGCCGGACTTGTTCGTTCCCCTTAAGTTATTGTTGTATCGGCGGCCTTTTCCGCGCCCCACTCCTGTCGGCGCGGCTGAGGTACTTTAAAAAGAGACTTCCGAGGCGGCCTGTGTGTCCTAGAGAAGAGGGAGAGGCGGAGGAGCATGCTCACCTTTTTTATATTGATTTCTACAGCGTTTGTAAGAATAAAGAAGTATTTTGAAAGCACCCCGCTTCCTGTATTCGCAGTGGCTCCTGCTCGCCGGGCCCCGGGAGCCGCCGGGAAGGCGCGTTCCGGCCCCAGGTGTGCGGCCCGGGCGGCCCCAGCGGGGCCAGGAGTCAGCGGAGCGCCGCTGGGCCGCGGGTCTGCTCCGCCCGGAACCGCGCTGGGCCGCGGGGTCTGTTCTGCTGGGAACCGCGCTGGGCCGCGGGTCTGCTCCGCCCGGAACCGCGCTACGTCTCCTTCCAAGTTCGGTTTAACTTGCCCAGCGCAGGGCGACTAAACGCGTTAGGCTGACAGGTTCTGGCGAAGGTGCCCCGGCTGGGGCGGGGCCGCCCGCCGCCCGCTCCGCTGACCGGGGCCCGGGCGCAGGCGGAAGGGCTCCCGGAGTTGAGGGGCGGCTGAGGGGCGAGGGAGGGCGGCTCCGGTTGTTCTGAACGCGGGTCTGAGTTCCCCTGGGCCTTCCCGGGACAGGACTGCTTTCCCTTCCCGCGGCCTCAGGGACAGTTTAGGTTTTCCAAGTGCGCAGGAAGGCAGACAGCCATGTAGATGGAAGGACCGCGCAGTGTGATGATCCAGAGTTTCATCTGCACGAATGGCAGAGCCCTTCCTTTCCCCCGACAGTGGGCACGAGGCTCCCTTTCCGGATTCGGGTACTGCGCCTGTGTTATGTAATGAACTATGGCCTGTCTGGATTACATCGTTATAAGGGAGAAAACAAAACCTTTAGTGTCCAAAGCTAATAAATTTGTGCTTTTAATTTAAATCCCTCCCCACAAAGCAAATGTTAACCCTGCAGTCTGATCTCCGCTCTCTGCGCACAGCATGCAGGCTCTCCTGTGAGCTCAGTGTCCCTACAGTCACATTCGTTAACTTACATTTTATGGACAGCGGTTTTTGTACCTCTGATAAAGTTCTCTAAAATATTTCCCCCAAATACTAAAAGGCAAACAAAAACAAACAATCCTGAAGACGGGACATTTATTGCAGCAGAACAGTAAGGTAACAATATAGGACAAGGCGTTAAACTTTGCAGTGTATTCTTTGGGGCAATGCTTAACAAAAACTACAAGCAAAACATGTTGAAGGAGGGTAAACTTTAAATATAAAAACTTTAAAATGGCAATTATAGAGTTTCTCCTGCTACATTAACATTGCCTAAGGTAAATACAAAACGAAGCCCTCAAGCTTATGTAAGCTTTATTAACAGTTATGTCCCTAAGTTTGCAGGAAGGTAATAAAATATATATTTATAGTAGAAAAAATTTTGATTTATAGTTTACAAAGCCATTTTACTGACATGAACCCCAGGAAAACCATAAGTTCCATTTCAAGAGCATAAAATACACTCAGTTAACCAGTAACCACGGAGCCACCAGCAGCACGGGCAGCCTCCAGCCTGCCCGCACCCAGCAGCTCGATCTCCTCCAGCCCCAGGCAGCGGGCCGGGGGGGTGGCCACGGACTGGACAAAACAACTTAGCGGCCCCAGCTCCTTCCCGATGACGCTCTCCACTGCGTAGCCCTGCAGGGAGAAAGCACGCTGGTTAGCGCTCGCAGCCCTGCGTGTTCTGTTCCCACCGCACAGAGCACGGCTCCACACAGTGAACAACACGGGTAAGAAGGGGACAAAGAAAAAAGGGCTGTGATTTGTTACAGTAAGTGAAGAACTGATTTTTCCCACCAGAACGTGTAGGTTCCCTGCGTTTGCCAGCGGAGGCAGCGATAAGCCTCAGCTGGCCGCCCCGGGAGAGGAGCCCGGAACTCACAGAGGGACAAGCGGGGGTTAGTAGCTGCGGAGGCTGGGGCTGGGCGCGAATCTGCTTGCAGCTGCCTCCCACTTCCTTTGGGACACTTCCCCAATCAGCAACACTTCTGGTGTTCTGCCCCCAAACTTCCCTCTTCAATGGGCACTATTTCTTCTGGACGTACACCGAGGGTTGCAAAAAGCGTTGTATTTGCCTTCTGTGTGGTGAACATCTTACGGTGACTGGTTCATCTCGGCCACGTTCCATCTCTTGATGAAAACACAGACTAGGAGGGTGTGGGATGCCCTCAGTCTCTCTAGATCAAGCATGTCAAACTCAAGGGCTAACACGGGCCAAATACACGAGGCATGAGGCCTGCCGGCAGCGAGTTTAAATGCTCGCTCCGGATCCAGCCTCGGAACACTGCCTCTCCGGCCGGCCGCGGTGGGCTGGGCACTCTGATGCCTGCAGGCTGGCCTCCGGGAGGCGGGGCCCCGAGGAGCCTGTTCTTTCAGAAGGTCCTCTGCTGCCGCCTCAGAACATCAGGAGCATCTTGCCTTCCCTGAGCCAGACCCGTGACAGACAGATCTCTGCGGAAGCGTTGCTCAGTGTGTTTTACCACACAGGCACGTGTAGTGGCTCCTCGGTGCCCTCGCTGGGTCTGAGCTGGGCTCAGTGACGCTTTTCAGGAACGGAGTGCAGTGGGCAGGGCACTGAGTTGGTCCCAAGCGTGGCCAGGACTCTCCCGGGCCCCAGGCACGTGCTGTGTGGGTCTTGGCCAGACGCGGGCAGGCCCAGCCACTCGGAGCGCAGGAGCCGGCGGGGCCGGAGGCCTCTGGGGCTCAGCCCGGCCTCGGCCGCCAGCTGACGCCCGTGGAGCGAGACGAGCCGTCCGGGTAGAAGCCGGTCCTCCCACGGGCCTGTGCACAGTGAGGGGAAGCCACCGGGAGGGGAGAGGCGTGTTCGGAAGCAGGAAGTACCAGGATCAGTGGGCGTGAGCCCGGCTCTCGCTGTCCTCCCTTCCTTCTGCTCCGAGGGGGCCTGGCGGAGTGCCGAACCCGCTCCTGCCATCTCTAAAGAGCTTCCCGCTCAGTAAAGGTTCGTGTAAGGACCAGAGAGGCCGAATGGAGAGATGGGGGAGAGAGAGTTGCTGGAGTCCAAGGTGGGAAGTGATGGAGCTAAAATATCTGACAACAACGGTGGTGGCAAAGGCCTTCTGCACTTGGGACCGTGTGTGACACAGACGGCACTTCATGGCCCGTCCCGGTCACTCCCGAGGGCTCACTCCGAGGCGGGGAAGGCCTGTCGCCGAGATGGCGGTGACCAGGAGCGGCCAGGAGCGGCCAGCGAGCACAGGGTGTGCAGGGGCCGCCACCGGCCCGGCTGGGCGGGGACACGGCAGCCCCTCTCTGCGGCTCCGGCCCCCTCACCGCCTCCTGCTGGTGTGTGTGACACTGGGCTGAGAGTACGGAATTCTGACTTGAAAAAAGCCAGCAAAAAATCACTTTAAAAACGCCAGGTTTGGCAGCTACCATCTTCAGTAACAACTATCACTGATAAACAAAGGTTAAATTATATATCCTTTATATTTGGCGGCAACTAATACGGAGAGGTAAAAACAATCACACCCACCAACAATCGCATATGTGCTCTCGTAGGAATGTGTATGTGCGTAAGTGTAAAATGTGTCTGTTTTTAAAAGGTACAAGGTGTGTTCTTTAACTTTTCCTTTTCTGAAAGTGTCACACACGGAGTGTTCGGTGAACGCGCCGGTGGACAGCACAGCAGTGCCGCTGCCTCCCCCGAGGCCAGACCAGTCCCTGAGGGCGCGCACTGCACCGTGCAGCCTGTCCGAGGCAGTACCTCCCTCCCAGGGCCTGGGTGATGGTCCATAGACAGGCCTGGCAGTTCTAGGTGATTCCTTGGGTTTTGGCAAAAACCCAGAAAACAGACAGAATCCAGGCTGGAAAACGCTTGGCTGGTGTCTACATGGAAGTCCTTTTTTAACCTGAGGATATGTTTATTGATTTTAGAGATAGGAAGGGGGAGGGAGGGAAGGAGGGAGGAAGGAGAGGAAAAGAGAGAGAGAGAGAGAGAGGAAGAGAGAGAGAGGAAGAGATAGAGAGAGAGGGAGAGAGGGAGAGAGGGAGAAAAAGAGAGAGAATGAGAGAGAGAGATGGACCTGTTACCTCCCATAAGTCCCCCACAAGCTAGGTATGTGCCCTGACCGGGAATCGGACATTCCAACCACCTGAGCCACACCAGGCGGGCACACAGTCCTTTCATTACCGTCCTCCAGCTCCTTCTGGTCGGACGTAAAGCGCTGGTCACCCCTGTGAGTAATGTGCACGGAAACCAACCGCAGGCTTAGCACTGACCTTACTTTCCTGGTCGCTGCTCTGAGGACAGAGCCTGCAAAGCTGCGCCTGAAGCCATCCCACCGGTGCCCTCATCCCGTGCACACACTCTAGCGCCCCATGTACACGTGAGCACACAGCTGTACGAGACAAGCACATGAACACCCCAGTACGCACACACGCTCTTTTGAGCTCTTTTAGGATTTTACACGAGAGCACTGCCCTGTCCCCGCTCCCTGCGGGAGAGGCTGTCCATCCCGGCAGGCTGCCTGGAGGAGGCAGGCCACTGGGTGGGGAGCCGCAGGACCGAGTGGGAGGCAGGGCTGGCCAAGGCCGCCTGGAGAATGCGGGCCAACCTGTGCCTGTCTGGGTGGAACAGCCAAGCTGTGCATCACTCCCAAGTGCTGCTGGTTTTGGTTTGTTTAGGTTGCGGGTTTTGGTTCATTTTCTTACGTGTTCTCCTTAAGCAGGAGGGTCACCAACACTCCCCCAGCACTCTCCGCTTCCCGATACCCAGCTCTGTTCTCCTTTGCGCCCCCGGAAGCCAGGCCTTGGGAACTCCAAT